TAGAATAGAATAGAATAGAATAGAATAGAATAGAATAGAATAGAATAGAATAGAATTCTTTATTGGCCAAGGGTGATTGGACACACAGGGAATTCATTTTGTGGTAAGGAGAAAAAGATAAAGAAAAAAATACATTCATCAAGAATCATAGGTATAACACTTAATAGTAGTCAAAGGGTACAAATAAGCAACCAAATCATAATGGGAAACATAATAATAAGTGATCAAATCAAATTATACTAGTAAACAGTCAATTTAAAAAAATCGTAAGGATACAAGCAACGAAGTTACATTCATGTAGTCATAAATGGGAGGAGACAGATGAAAGGAAGGATGAAAAGATGAATAGTAATAGTAATGCAGACTTAGTAAATAGTTTGACAGTGTTGAGGGAGTTATTTGTTTAGCAGAGTGATGGTGTTTGGGAAAAAGCTATTCTTGTGTCTAGTTGTTCTGGTGTGCAATGCTCTATAGCCTGGTTTTGAGGTTAGGAGTTGAAACAATTTATGTCCAGGGTTAAGGTTAGGGTTAAGAAGAAACTAAAAAGCACTTGATTGCCCATCTTCTTGTTCATTTTTTTTCTCTTCCTTCAGCCAACGATGGGAAGGTGAGAATGATCAGCTGTGGTGCTGATAAGAGCATCTATTTCCGCACTGCACAGAAGGTAATTCCATTGGAGTAGTCACTCTTTATGTAACATGTATTGTAGATACTCATGGGGTGGGGTACTGGAAGCAAAAGCTTTGGACAATATTCTAGACCTCATGGCTTTCTTTCAGTCAATACATTTTTTTAAAAACAAATGTTAGGAACTGTATAATAGTACTGATCATATTGTAGTTTGATCATTGTCTCATTGCAGTCTTTTCTTTCTTACATTTCCTGATAAGACAAACCTAGTTTCTCCTTGGGGAAAATATTGTACACTGATACTATTTGATTAAATATTGTGGAGGTGTCATTGCTATTTCTTGCGTTTAGACAAATGATGGGGTCCACTTTACTCGCACACATCATGTTGTTAGGAAGACTACTCTTTATGATATGGATGTGGACCCTAACTGGAAATATGCTGCTATTGGATGTCAAGACCGTAACATCAGGTTGGTTCATAAATCATAATAGAAGCTTCCTAGTTCAAATGTATCTGAAAAGCTTAGTTTTTAAAAGTATATTATTACAAGGAAATTAAATTTTGACCTACCTAAGACCTGTCAATTTGACACTCGTGTTGCCTAGATATTCTATTAAACCTACAATAATCTTTCTTTGGTTTTCTGAAGAGTCACGTGTAATTTTCATCTTATTTTTTTAAAGAGAATTTTACGTGTTTAATTAGCTTTTTCCCCATAGAAATTAAAGTTATGACTTTGAACATTTTGATATTGTCTTATCCACATGGTTTGGAGCAAGCTTCACCAAATCCATTGGACCAACTTCTGAATTGGTGTATCTAGGATTCCAATGTACAAGTAGTTCTTGACTTACAACCACAATTGGGGCTGGAATCTCAGTCATTGAGTGAGGTGGTCATTAAGTTACACACCCACATGATCGCTTTGCTCAATGACTGCAGTCCCAGTGCTCCTTGTTCGGGTTGTTAAGCAATGTTCAGATTATTAAACAGATGGAACAAAAGAGCTGCCTACGGAAGGATTTCAGCTCCCATCCACACGTGGAGGGGAAGGAGAACTCTCCAAAAGGCTGCAGAAATGGAGCACAGATCTTCAGGATCTGAGCTCCATTTCTGCAGCCGTGGGAAGGTGTTCAGCTCCCTTCTATGTGCAGAAGAAAAGTCCTCTTGCCAGACAAACTTGGAGATCAAGCCCTTAAGATCCGAGCTGTGTTTCTGCAGCCTGGACAAAGAGTTCAATTACCCTTGACAGGCAGCTCCTTTAGGCAACCCCCAAGGATGAGAGGGAATCTTATCTGCAGCTGGCACAGATAAGGTAGTTAGGCCTGAGTTGTAGTACAGAGACAGAGGTTTTCTTTAAAAGAGATCTACAAATTCATGGAGATAAAGGTATTTCTGTTAGCTATGATCAACTATATGGAACTTATATATTCAGCATTCAGGTGTATGAACAATATTCTACTCATTTTGATCATTTTCCAGAGACATTTTGCTGGTTGCTGTAAAACACAAGTAAAATAGCTTTGCTTTGATTTAAGAGTATAGGAGTTTCTCTTTACTGTATATCTGAATTTCTTCTTAGGATTTTCAACATAAGCAGTGGAAAGCAAAAGAAACTATACAAAGGATCTCAAAGTGAAGATGGCACTCTAATTAAAGTAAGGCCTTTGTTAACTCCTCCATAACAAATTGTGTCGTATTCCGTCTTATTCTCTATATCCCATTTCCTTGTTATGCCTTTCCAGCTTAATATTCTAATTAGAGAATAAGATTTTAAGTCAGTTCTATCTCATATGGAATACTTAAGACCCTGCAGTGTAGCATTTACAGATGGATTTTGAAAGCTACAAAATGGTTCATAGATTGGCAAAGCAATCAACTGCGAATTAAAGACAAGCTCATGAAGACAAAAGAGAGCCACATCAATGTCTCATCTCCCAGAAATTAGCTGAGCTTCATAAATTTCACATTTTGAATCCTCCTGCACCAACAATAGAAAAGCTTATGAATAATGGCTTAGAAGTTCTTTAATCTATGCCTTTTTTTTAAAAAAAAGCAACAGCTGTGTCTAATTTCCCTGTTGTTGTTCTCAACTGACCCATATACATAAAAAATCTGATTTTGCTGCATAAGCAATATTTAATGCATATGCATTCTTCTCTTTGTATATGGAGCCTTACAAATCCTGAAACTCTCCCTCCAAGAGCTTGGGAGGTTTTTGCATACTGTACTGTACAAGACACTTTTATGATCACTTTTTTCCAGCACCTGAAGCTGTTTTCTAGTTTGCGGGTCCCAAAAATTTCTTCCAGGAAAAAAAAAACTTTTCTAACAGCAGTCTGTTTCTAAAGTATTTCCACAAGAGATCAGGGAATAAACAGTTTATGCCTAAATCAGTGCTGAGTATTCTTGGATGGTTCTTTCATTTTCTAATCAACACAGAGAGCAGTAATATAAGTAATCCCAAAGGTGCTTTTTCAAGAGGCAAGTGGACTTTCTGATTTTTCTTTGAAGGCATTTTGCTTCTCATCCAAGAAGCTTTTTCAGCTCTGACTGGATGTTGGAAAATGGAAGCATTTATTATACTTCCTTTAAACTCCTTTAAATCCTTCCATTCCCCACCATTCTGTCAGAGCTGAAGAAGCTTCTTGGATGAGAATCGAAATGTCTTCAAAGAAAAACCAGAAAGTCCACTTGCCTCTTGAAAAAACACCTTTGGGACAACGGTGACCTGGATAATGGAGACTCTCCATAGATATTTAATATAAGTAATATAAAAACAAACTTAACATCAAATATTAAAATGCATATTTTAATATGCAACTACATATTTTGCTATGTTTGTGATCTGATTTTTTATTTAACTTTATAATAGCAGATGTGTTTAATTGTGCTCTTATTCAGATAAAAGGGTCATGTTTTCACCTAATACATTAGTTACAAATATGAGTTGAAGAAACCATAATCTGCCAGAAACCTGCATTGTGACTTATGCAGGCCTTTGATGAGTTATAAATACAGACATTGCATTGATTTACTCTATAATAAAGATAAACACACAGATCCAAGCTGGCTCAATTTTCTGGCTTGAATCCACTGTGTTTTGCATAATCACAGTGGGAAAAACTGGTGTCTTCACAAATACAGATTGCAACATAAAACAGCCTTTCCCAACCTGGTATTCCCAGATTTTTGAGCCAATTGAATTTTCCCAGGATGGGTGTCGCTGGCATGAAGTATGAAAGAGTCATTAAATATAGAGCATTAGTTCTTAGTGCTTACCAAAACTACACATATCCACTTTCCTAAAGCCTAGAAATTGTACCACAGATAAACTCGAATGTCCCCCCCCCTTTTTTTTTCCTGTTACTTGTTCAGGTACAAATGGATCCTTCTGGTCTGTACATTGCAACCAGTTGTTCTGACAAGAACCTTTCTATCTTTGATTTCTATTCAGGCGAATGTGTGGCCACAATGTATGGGCACTCAGGTAATGCAAAAATATGTTTTCAAAAACAGTTAAAGGTGTTTTTTTTGGGGGGGGGGGGAAGAAGTTTAGAGGGGTAAGTGTATCAACCGGCTCCAGGTTACACTCCTGGTTGGTTTGTTGGAAATTGTGCAGTCGTAAAATTGAGTCCTTCTGGTGTAGAAGTAGTGTTTGGTTGCATCAAGGATTCCCTCCCTCTGAAACTGGAAATGATTGTGGGTTTCCCATTTTGGAAGATAAAATCCAGCTGTTAAATGACAGAAGCCGTTTTGACTTAATGAGATACGTAGATCCTTTGGTAGATGAGATGATAGCTGTGTTTATTTATAAAAAAAGATTTTAAAAAAAACTAGGTCCACAGAATATTTTAAGAATAGATTTATCCTCTGCTTTTTGGCTGAAAACCTCAAAACAGCTCTTAATGGTAATAATATACAATAAATACATTACGAACTGTATCCTTAGAACAAGCCAGACAGTTTTGTGCAGGTAGCTACTGTTGAATGTGCCTACTGTTCCTTCTGCAGGACAATTGATGGCTCTGTTCAGTAGTTCTACAGGAAGCTGCCAGATGGCAGTACTTTTGTCCATTTCCCTAGCTGTTCCCTTAGTAGTCCTTCAGACTTGAACTCTGGGTTTGAATTATGTGTAAAGCAGTAGTAGGATTCAATTTTTTTTTACTATCGGTTCTGTGGGTGTGGTATGGTGGGCGTGGTGTGGCTTGGTGGGCGTGGCAGGGGAAGGAGACTGCAAAATCTCCATTCCCACCCCACTCCTGGGGAAAGGTTACTGCAAAATCTCCATTCCCTCCCCACCCCACTAACCTCCTTTCCAGGTCTGTTCTCCTGTGCACGGCAACAAAAGACCCAGCCGATCAGCTGGGACTTGGGAGGCAAAGAATGGATGGGGACGGGGCCAGTCAGAGGTGGTATTTGCCGGTTCTCCGAACTACTCAAAATTTTTGCTATCGCATGCAGAACTGGTCAGAACCTGCTGAGTACCACCTCTGGTGTAAAGATCATAGAAGAAATGCCAAGGATCTCCAAGCTACCATATGGCTATTGTTTTACACCAGGAAATTAAAAAAATTGTTTGGCTTGTTCTTCTGATTTTTTACAGAGATCGTAACTGGGATGATGTTCAGTAATGACTGTAAACACTTAATTTCAGTTTCTGGTGACAGGTACGTGAAAGGATATTCTTTATTTAAATTTCATCTGTAAAATGAAAGTTAGCATTTCCCTTTTTAAACAATGGGGATGGATTTGCAAATAATTTTTAAATGAGAGTTCTTGAGTAACTATTCCACCTGCTTCGTTTTCTGTTTTACACTCCTGGTCAATAAGTTTCAAATTAAAATGGAGATTCTTTAGGTCTGAAAAGAGGATGTGAAATGCTGCTTTCTTGAGCTGGACAACTGACAATTTCAGTCATAAGTCCGATCTAAGTATAGTACATAAAATTATATATTGCAATGTCCTACCTGTCAATGAATACTTCAGCTTCAACCATAACAATACAAGAGCACACAATAGATACAAACTCAAGGTAAACCTCACCAAACTTGATTGCAGGAAATACGACTTCAGCAACAGAGTGGTCAATGTCTGGAACACTCTACCTGATTCTGTGGTTTCTTCCCCAAACCCCAAAAACTTTAACCTTAGACTGTCTACTATTGACCTCACCCCTTTCCTAAGAGGTCTGTAGGGGGCGTGTATAAGTGCACCAAGGTGCCTACCGTCCCTGTCCTATTGTTTCTTTTTTTATCTTATATGTATCCATTTCATGTATTCATAACTATGTTTATACTTATACCTGTTATCTTATAATCGCTTGACAAAATAAAATAAATAAAAATAAATAAATACACATATATGCTCCTCACCCGAGTCATTTTTATGGCTTCAAAGGTCTTCCAAGATTACGCTGTTGAAATCTGGAAACCAAATACTGATTTTCTGTGGTGCAATTGCTGGTTTTATTTAGGGAGGGACAGTAAAAATAAGCGTTTTAATGTATCCATTTTCCACTTGTCTATGAGTCCCTAGCATAGTAGCTTATAGCTTTTGAAGTGCCAGCATTAAAAATAGGAAGCCTAAAGATAAATACTGTCTATAGGGGAATGGGTATAGAATAGGGGGATACTTGATGGAATCTCAGGTATATAGACAGCAGACTATGATGCCTGGATCAAAATGAATATTTTTTTTTCCCATCCTGCTTTCAGTTGTATTTTCATTTGGCGTCTGAGTTCTGAAATGACCATCAATATGCGTCAGCGGCTGGCTGATATGAAGCAAAGGGGAAAACAAGCAGAAAAAGCTCAACCAGGCAAAACAGCTGGTCTTACCAGGTATGACATTGTGTTAGTATTGCTTTTAGTTCATAAAAAGCTTTCTGACCAGACCGTGTGGTAGTATGAGATTTTTGGACAGGTGTCTTCTTATCTGAACAGCACTATGTTTATTATTACAACATATTGACATTTTTGGTGGCAATTTTAATGTGAGAATAGATATGGAAAGAAATCCATATATTCAGATTTCAGTTTCTTATTCTTCCAGATTCAATTCTGTTTAATGCTATTTCTAGATCAGGTCAGTGAATTATTCTTTTAAAGTGTTTACAAAAATGAATATGCATTTATCTGTCTATAGATTCAAATATGTATTATTTGGATATAGATTCAAATGTGCATTGTTCAAATCCAAAAAATTATTTGGATATAGGTTAAAATATGCATTATTTGGATATAGTATTAGAGTCAGAGTTACATGTTTGTCTTTTTAAGTCATATTTTTAAAAAAGTCTTTGTGTACTGTTTATTAAGATATTTTGCTTTCTTTATATGTTTTGTATGTATCTTTTTTCTATACACATTTGTAACCCTTTTCTCTGGAGCACTAAATTCAAAAATGTGCAAAGTTGCATTTTGTTCTATATATTTTGTTCAAGAAAAATGAACTGGGTAACTTTCTATTAAAACACAAAATGACCTGATTGTTGTGAATCAGTTGGGAAGAAGAACACATTTATGCACACTAGGACCACCAAATGGTCCATTTTAGATCTTCCAACTATTTGTGTTTGAAAGTCACTTCAGTAAGATTGAACTGAAACTTATTCAAATCACATTTTTGAACATGATGAATTAAATGGTCCTATCAAGCAAACAAGAAGAAAGGAAGGAAGGAAGGAAGGAAGGAAGGAAGGAAGGAAGGAAGGAAGGAAGGGTAGATTTTTCATATTTAGAAGTAAAGAAAACTATAGGAAAACTAAGTTTGATGTTCTCAGTCTCTCACCTAGCTGCTTGCTTCTTCTCATTTTCTTTAAAGGTTCTTAATAAACCTTTACCCTGAATGCTATTGCAGATAGTTCATGTATATAGTATGATCCAAATATCTGTACAGAAAAACAAATAATATTTCTTAAATACATGTGCTCAATACATAAAACACATGTGTTAGCAGTTACTGGGATTTATTTTAGAATGAAAAAAAAATCCAGTTGCAGACAGACTTATGGAAGTCAGAAAAAATAAAATAGAAAAGTAAGTGACTGGGGGCTTTTTGTGTCGAAATTAATTTACATGGATATGAGAAAGAGGGTTAATTGTCCCTCAAGATTGATGTGCTATTTGCTGACGTATATTGTTTTCCCTGAATCCCATCATGTCCATTTATTACACTTTAGCTCTATCTAAATTTTCAATCCTACATGAGTCATCCAGAGTAGCTGGTATGAAATTGAGTAAATAAATACATGCTTCCTAATCAAAGTTTTCCCTAAACTATTTTGTGAAAAGTGTTTAACTTCTTTTTAAAATAATGCCAGCCATAGCCTGTTGGGATTCTTATAATCTAAATTGGAGATTTCCTGGGTGTAATGGGGAGCGGGCAACCAGTTGGGCAGAATGAGGAAGAAGTGGATTGGGTATGTTCAAAAGAGGTGCTCAATCTGACATACATTTGAAATAAGATTGACGCTTTCTAATCCCGAGTCATTGCTGAAATAAAAAACCCCGCAATACCTTTTCCTCTGTGTTCTTATTTAGCATGGGAGAAGCCTGTTGAAGCCAAAAATTCTGGAGCTGTGGAGCAGTGTTCTTTTTATAGCAAGCTCTTCACCATCCCAGCAGCTGCATTGCTCTGCTTTTTTTTTTTTTTAAAGGCCCAGCTTGTATCGGACACTCCTGGTTTCTTGACAGTATCGCAAGGCTTGTTAGTCCCATGCTATTGGTTAGAAAGTTGCATCTAAGGCATACCAGCCCAACAGCTGGTTGGAAAACAGGTCAGACCTCTATGATTAAGCTGGATCCATTCTGTTTGGCCAGCTTTGTTTCTAGGTTGGTTCTGGTTTTGCTGTAGAAGAAGAGATCACAGGAGGCCACTTGCTGAAAGAACGTAAGCCATTACAAGAGCATCACTATGTGGGGCTGAAACACTGAGAACTGTGTGTGATGTTATATGGGTGGATTTGATTTTGAAAACAAGTATTTTAATGAAGATTGCAGCTTGGTAGATAAGATTGAGATTATCTTTCTAGTTTCATTGTTTAAACTTGCTATACAATAAAGATGATGACGAATGTCGCTGGATAATCCAGACTTTAGTAGATATATGTTTGGAGTACGTCACAAGGTGAACCAGGCATTTTTTAAAGAAAGTTGTAGGAATAAGGATGTTATATGAAATGATAAAAACAAAATAAGGCCTCTGAAAAGTCACGGGTTCATTTGTTCAAACCATGATCTGCATTTTGTTCTATTGCTCCCCCGTATTACATGTGGCTTCTCATTGTTAGATTGTACTTTACTTTAATGACTGATATAGATATAATTATTGCTTTTGTCGTAAATTATTGATTTGAGACTATGCTTGGAGTATAAAGCATTTTTTAAAAAAGTTGCACTAATTATATTACCTTACTCTACTGTGTCAAAAAGAGTCAAAAGTCAATGCTTTTCTCTTTCTTTTATCCTTTCCCCTACACTTTTTTCTCTTTCCTACCCCCTATATTCTCATTTTCTTTTTTTCTTTGTATTTCTGTATTTTATATTTTGATAAACTAATAATTTTTTTTTAAAAAAGTTATGCTTATTATAGCTTATGGATCCAGTATGTTGGTGGAACTCTAGTTTTAATTAGTCACATGGGAGATTCCTGGGAAAAATTCCATTCAGAATATTTCCACTACAGGAAAAATGGAGTATGGCAATTTTTGTTGTTGTTCAGTTCTCTCCATTCTTGCAATTCCATAACTGCTAGGACAATATCTCATCAAAGGCTGCAGGAAAAGGACAGGATTTGCATTCTTGCCTCTTCCCATTTCAGTAAGTGGAAAAACTACGCCATAAATCCTCCTGATTGCAAGAAGCTTTTTGTAGGTGCATTTCTTTGTTAGAACAAATAGGAACCTGAGAAATTAAGCAGGATGGGGATGGGGAGGAGTGCATGACTCAATGTCACACCCCCACATCTCCAAAGTATGGTTTAAAGGATTGAGCTGATAAATACTTTTCCAGGTTTGGGGGCAAAATGCTTAGCTAACGATCATTAAACATTGCAAGGACCCTTTCTTCTATTTTTATAAGGATTTTTCCTCTTCCTTAAATGTTTTATTGAGACTTCAGATTCTTGATGGATTCTTTTCTGAATTCTTGAGCTGTTCTTCATAAGAGGTATGAGGAGAGAGAGAGAGAGACACTGAGTTACTTTTCTATAGGTCGTATGTGCTACAAAGATTCTGGTCTTTTAAAAAAGTTGCAGTTAAAAATGAAGTTATAATAGCAAAAAAAATGACAAAAATGACATTTAAGCAGGTTAAATTATATCATTGCTTTTGTTAGTGCTGTATTAGTATTAGAATTCTTTATTGGCCAAGGGTGATTGGACGCACAAAGAATTTGTCTGATGCAAAGCTCTCAGTGTACATACAAGCAATAAGTGATAAATCATGATCGTAGTCATCATAAAAATACATTCATTCATCATAAATCATAAGATACAACACTTAGTGATAGTCATAGGATACTAAATAAGCAATAAACATAAATCATACTAAGATACGATTGAAGAAGAAGATTGCGACAAAGAAGAATGAACAAGTAATCTTAGGTGGGGGGAAAAAAAGGAAATGGGGGAAAGAGAATGGAAAGTTTAAGACTGGGAAAAACAACTCCAAAAAAAAAAAATAGAGTGAAAAATAAGTATAAAATCAGAAAGCAACAGAAGAGGGTAATGCAGAAGAGAGAATTAGAAGTAGAGAGACAAGGGGGTAAAAAGGGGAGGGAGAAGATGAGAGGGAAGAAAAAAAGGAAAAGAAGTTATAAAGGACAGAAACAAAATATAGAGAAACAGGGCCTATTTATAGCTAATGGGTGAAAATTTAATGGAAAAAGGGATTCTGCAAAGGTACAGATAGTATTGTTATATTAGAAATAGAAATAATTTTAGAAAATATGAAACAATGTATGATTAAAATGTCTGATAAAATAGCTATTGTTATTCAGTGGAATGCTTGTCAATAAACAAATGTAACAAAATGAATATTTAATGATTTACAAAACATATGTGAAGAGAAATAAGGGAAAAATTAATTATGGAGATTATATGTGTCTTTAAGGAAGTATGATATTTAATTGAAAAGAAGTGTTAAAGATGTTAAGATTTTAATGATTATTAATGATAGAATTGAATTGGAATGGAATGAGGCTTTAGAATTACATATATTTATAATCTTTTTTTTAAAGAATATAGTGTGTATTATAAGAATGTGCCAAGCAGAATTCGATTGGAAGTTATGTATTATGTATTATACTGAAGGTCATAACCTTAAGGTATATATTGAAGTTTAAATAAGAGTTGAATGGATGTAATTAAAAGATATAAAGGTGTCATACTCCAATTAGTAACTACAGGAGAAAATTTGTTTAATGAGAAAAGATAATATGAAATTGAAACAGAACAGACAAAAGTAAAAATATAATGATTTGAATTGAGGTGAGATAATCAAAATAAAATTGAGAAAATTAAAAGAGGGGAAAAACTATATAGAAAATGTAGAATAGTATAAGATGTGGAATAGAATACAAAAAGGAGCATGAAATTGAGTTTTGTGTCTATATAAAGAAGTTCAACCCGGGACCATGCTATTTTTCAAAAAAGATGTTTTACTTGTATTTTGTGTGTGAAAACCCAAGTAAAACTTTATTAAAATAAATAAATAAATCATACTAGGATACTAAGTAAGCAATGTAAGTACTAAGATACAAGCAACAAAGTTATAGTCAAAAAAAGATGAGATAGTTACAGTCAGAGGGAAGATGGGAAAGAATAATAAAAGACTAAGTTC